AGGCTATTTGTTTAGGGGACAGTCCTGAGGTCTCTAGGAAAACTGAAGCACAGCTTGAGACCGGAGAAGGGGGAGCCAGGAAAGGCCTCACATCCTGCACATCCCTTTGTCCTAGCCGGCATCCCAGGCATGCCGTCTCCCTGCCCCAACCCAAGATGATAACCGTTAGGGCTAGAGGCCTTGCTGAGCCACATGGCATCCCTGTCCTCCGATGGCTGGGGGGCGGGGGCGGCGGGGGACGCCATCACGTGCCTCTGGGGGCCCGCAAGGATTCATTATTCCTTCTTTCCTGTTGGCAGCAAGGAGGGAAGGATTCATTCTCCGTCCCTACAGAGGCTGGGGAGGGTCCTGAGGAGAGATCATTCCATCCAGGCGGCCTGCCTCACCTACCTTCCCAAGGAACCTGTCCCCCAGAGAAGCCATTGGAACTAATTAACAATTACCAGCACTAAACACTGCAGGGAAAAGGTGCAGTCTTTCTCTCTAGAGAAAGACTGGGCCCTGAGGAGGTGGCCGACTCCACTGAGGATGGTGGGCTCTCCCCAGCTACCCTGGTGGGGTGTATCCAGCCTTGCAGGGATGACACATCTCCCCATGAGCACCAAGTAAACAGGGCAGGAAGTCGGGCTTGGGTGGTATTTTTCTGGGCACTATCCCGTGGCTTGAGAGCAGCCTCATGTCTGTCCACAACCCCAGACTCCTGCCCTCTGTTTATCCGGTCTCTGTCTTCCTTGGTCCTGCGCCGCACACCCACTTTCCCTTTCCGGCCAAGTAGCTGGCACATCTGTCAGAGAGATCCACTAGGCACGGCCAGGCTGGGGGCCAGGGGCCTGCCCTTGTGTACAAAGGGGGCTGGAAGTGAAAGGAGAGCCGTGGTGAGGGTCCTGGCCAGACGGACGAGGGCTGGTTCCTCTCCTCACGCCCACGGGGACCTGGCCATCTATGCAGATGGCCACGGCCAGGCCTGTTGTTGTTGGAGAAGAGCCCATCTGGCAGGCTCCTTTGCCTGGGTTCCATCCAGCACCCACACCCCAGGCAGCCTGAGCCAGTCACTGGTGCCAGGGCCCTCTGCTGGACAGCCCCAGGAAGCCAGCTCTCACAGGCCTGGGTCTCCACAGGTTCTGAGGCACCGTCGTCCTCACGTCATGGTTCTCTCCCCTCGGCCCCTAAGGTTGGGTTAGGAGGGCTTTGCCCACCTGCCCTGATGTGTCCTGTTCACCACCCCAGTTGGGGCTGTGGCTGGCTGGACGCTTCTCCCCCTCCCCCTTTAGAAGGTAGCTTGGCTTCATACCACACTCCCAGCCCTCTCTCCCCAGGCCTGTGTTCTCTCAGCTGTTAGCAACAGTGTTGGCATCGGCCTGTCACAAGGGGGTTGTCACAAGCTACATCGCAAGTTCTCTGTTTGCGATTACATCTCCGTGGCCTCGTGGCAGAAAAGGAACCGGGGGAGGCCCAGAGAAACACTTGCCCAGCCTGCTCAATGTAAGGGCACACGGAAAAGATTCAACGATGATGGAGAGGAATTTTAAGGCGATGTGGTTTTGTTGTTTTGTTTTGTGATGCTGGGGAGAAGGGTCAAGTTCAGGACCTGAAACACGCTAGTGACATGCTCTGCCACTGGGCTAGCTCCTCAGCCCTAACGCCACTGTTAGAATAAATAAATAAATAAATAAATAAATAAATAAATAAATAAATAAATAAATAAATAAATAAATAAATAAATAGTTTAGTGGGAAAAGTCCACGACGAATACAATATCAGACTGCAGTGTGTGGAGGCCAGAGAACCTCAGGCTGCTGTTCCCCAGGGACCATCCACACTGGTTTTTTGTTTTAAGAGTTTGCATTTGTGTGTGTACACCACCTGGGTGCCAGTGCATTCGGAGGCCTGAGGGCTTTGGATCTCTGGGAACTGGAGGTATGGTGTGAGGCACCTGATATGGGTGCTGGGAACTAAAGCCAGGTCCTCTACAGGGACAGTCATCACTCCTTAACCGCCGGGCTATTTCTCCAGCCTCCGTGGGTTTTGTTTTTTAGACAGGGTCTCACTAAGTAGCTCTGGCTGGTCTGGAACTCGCAGTGCTGTGTGCCACCAGCCGGGCCCACCTTGTTTTTTGATACAGGATTTCTAACCATCGGTCCCCTGCCTTCCCTCCCCGGTGTTAGGGTTCCAAGTGGCCTCACAGCTTTGAAAGAACATTGTTTTCTTTTAACTTAGGTTCTGAGAATTGAACTAACTGAGCAAGTCTCCCCATGCCCCAAATCAAAGTCTCAAATAAAGACAGAGGTGTACACAGAGTGGACACTAGGTCAGGGTTCAAGAAGTTCCTTTGCTCTGAGCCTGGGCCGCTAGCCAAATTCTCAGATGTATCTCCTAACCCTCTGGCTTGGCAGGTAGGCAGGGGACAATTTTAAGTGGTCCGGAGCTCAAACAACCATCTAATTGTGGGCCTACAGATTCCCGGAGGGG